TATATATATATATATATATATATATATATATATATATATATATATATATATATATATATATATAATATATATGCAATCATGAATATCATCACTGTAATTATCGTTAGCATTCTTGCTCTGGTTCATCACCTTTTTGCTTGTTTCTTTTCTTGTCATCGTCATTGTTGTTATTATTATTAATAACAATATTACCAAAACTATTTTTATCATAATTGTCTTAGTGTATTGTTGTTGGTATTATCATTATTGCTACTATTATTATCATATATATATTATCTTCATTATGATTATTTTTTATTACCATCATTATCATTATTACTTTTATTACCATTATCATGAATATATTTATTATTGTTATCTATATCATTATCAATATTATTGCTATTGTTATTATAATTATAATTATTACCATTGTAATTATTATTATCATTATTATTATTATTATCATCATCATCATCATCATCATCATCGTCGTCATCATCATTATCATTATTGCTGTTACATTTGCTATTAATGTCATTATTTTTATTATCATCCTTATTATCATTATCATTACCACCACTCCTCTAACCCCATGCCCACTGTTGCCGTGGAGGGGCTAAGGAGATGGAGACGAAGACCCAATCCAGAGGCTCTCCCCAGCCTTGGGCCTCAACGCTCGACTCCACTAATCTTTTTTTCTTCCCTTTCTGTTTCATTCTCTCCTCCAATGCCTCCTGTCCTCTACCTTGCTGACCGAGAAAAAAGACCTCCTTGCACGTTGGGCACGGGATTTCAGCAGAGTAGAGAATAGACCATTTCTGAAGGGCCATAGCTGCCAGTGAAGGAACCTATGGCAGACCCCCAACCAGTGCCGAGGTTTGCAAAGATGTGAAGCAGACAATACCCTGAAAGGCACCAGGAGCGGATAAAATTCCTTCTGACATTTATGAGAATGGAAGTGACATGCTCCTGGAGCAACTGATATCCCTGCTCTGGGAAGCAGGGAACATCCCACAAGATTTCAAGGATGCATCCATATTGCACATCTGTAGGAGGGGAGGCAAGACATCCTTTGACATTCATCGTGGGATATCACTTCTGTGAGTGGCTGAGAAAGTTTTCATCAGGTCATCCTCAACAGACTCATCACTCACATTGCTGAGACCATCATCCCTAAATCACAGTGCAGATTTTGCACAGGCAAGGACACCTGTGACATGGTTTTTGCTGTCTGTTAGCTACAGGGGAACTGCCATGAGCAGAATCAGGAGCTCAACCTGATGTTTGTAGATCTCACCAAGGCCTTCGTTCACGGTTAGTGGAAGATCCTGCAAAAGTTTGGCTGTCCAGATCAGGTCACAGCACTGATCGCCTCTTTCCATGATGGCATGCTAACAAGAGTCCAAGAGAATGGTGATGCCTTGAATCCTTTCCAAGTGAGCAACAGAGTGAGGCAGGGCTGTTACCCCTACCTTGTTCCCCATCCTGTTTGCAGCAATGTTGCTCGACGCCTTTACTGACTGTGACAGGAGTGTAAATCCAGTTCCACATTGATGGGAAATTCTTCCACCTGTAAAGACTCCAAGCCAAGACCAAAGTGCTCGAGGCCGTCCTACAGGGGTTCCTCTTTGCAGACGACTACACACTGGGTACACTTTCCCACAAAGACATGCAGTATATGTGCCATCTGAGATGGACAGGACACATTGTTTGCATGGAAGACAATAGATTCCAAAAAATAATGCTCTATGGACAGCTGAAGCAGGAATACCGTGACAAAGGAAGACCCTTCAAGAGGTACAAAGATACTCTGAAAGCAAAATAGCTGCCAATGACATAGCTGTTTGGAAACACCAGGGCAAACAAAGCACAAGGGCTTTTAAAGCCAACAGGGCAACTGTCATTCATGAAAAGAGAGAGACGAGGAAACGGTTCTGCTTCTGTGGATTCCTTCCTTTGCTGCATCCGAGGCCGTTCATGGGTCTTCATTCCCATATGAGAACCCACCTCGGCAAATGACTTGAATGCCTACTCATCTGTCATGTCGACAGGAGAATCCAGTACATTGGTAATAACAATAGCAAAACTAATTACAAAGGGAAGGATATGTGAAAGACACTAACAGAGATAAAGCTATTTTGGTATCAAATGGAAACCTCTTATGGAATAGCAAATGTTATCCCAATATTCTATACTGCTCTGGCATTTGGTTAATTAATTTTCATAATACATCATATATCCAGATAGCATGGATATTAGAGGGACAAAATCTTCAACATGATAGTGTAGTTTTACTTTTCACAGTAACTGTTCAATGACTGTATGTCGGATGGCAGACTGTAAAAGATGGTTGAATTCTATGGATGGTATTAAACTAGTCACAGATTTTGACCACTAATGAATCATGATTCATAGGCTTGTAATACCATTTGTGCAAATACAAAGTTAGTAAACTGTACGTTAGAATACAATTACTAACTCAACATTTGGTACTAAATAATTGATTAAGTATATACACACATTTTCAGTAATCCTGAAGAAATTTTCAGCCCAATCTATCAACAGCTAAAAATCTTACGAATTGTAATTTACGTCATCAGGACAAGATACAACAGGAAAGGATACATTAAATCATTATTAATTAGTATATTTATGCAACACATACAGTACAATACAATAAACGAAATAATATGCTAAACATTATTCAAATGAGAAAAATATACACAAGTTACAATATGTACATAAAATATTATATTCCCCAATAAGAGAGTGAAGTAAAAAGCTTGTCCTTCTTGTATTAAGCAAACATGGGGAATATTACATCAGGACATTATATTATAGAAAATTCTCATGAATTTCCTAAAACACTTCTATAATAGTTGCACAACACATGGAAAAGTTAGCTGTAAAATATTTTGGTTTGAGATTGATTAGGAAGTTTAGAATTGCTGGGTAGATTTTGCTTTTTGTCAAAATAAGAAAAAAAAGACAATGTATATAACTGTGCTATGTATTATAACATCCAAATAAGTCATATGACAACTTAGACTTAACACTGGAAATGCCATTTGAATTTAAAGCCACTTCCTAATCATGAGAGGAAAATATATACATAATACAGCTATTCGTTCCAAATAAATGACTTGAATATATTGTGTGAATATAAGGTTCAGGTTATACAAAACAAAATCACATCAATAACAGGTCGACACCTCTACAAAGGGGACCTCATATACTGCTACCTTCATTAGGCACTTTGGCCTCCCGGTGCCTCCAGTTAGCAGCAGACTGTATGAAAATAATTATGGCACTAACCTACTGTATCTTCTCGTTGTCTCGTTAGGCTGCAGCAAATATTAATTTTTTTTTTAAAGAAAGGAAATCAAATGGACTCAGAATGTGACCGGTTTACTGACCTGAACATAGATTTGTTTTCGAGAATTCATGTACAATATTTCCTGCATTCCTTCTACATGTTTTTACCTGGATGATATGGTTGGCACATGGTACCTATCAGGCCCCTCGATGGGGATGTGTGAGCACCACCAGAAAGAACGTTGGATCAGTCAAGACATACTTTCTGAAGTTTACAAATAACTGGCCTTTGCATTCTGACTGATATCATTTTCCTAATTACACAACACACACGCTCCTTCATTATAAACCTCATGCAATAGGTTTACTGATCAGAGTAACGGGGAAACTTAAACTTTCATACAGAATGGTGATAATATGTTTTGTGTATATCTAAATTTATGCGAATTGATTGCATGGGTAAGTTCTAAGTTCAATTATTTTCTGGGGCGAATATTAATAATAATTGACATTGATTTTCCCAGAATAGAATATTAAGTACTGCTCAGTATACAGTACAGTAACATTCCATTATACTTATAGTGAATGTGAATTTCTGCAGTACACAAATCCATACACATTATATTATGTAACTAACATATGAAGTATCACAAATTTCTGTATAAAGGTATCGATGACAATGAATAGTCTTCATCAGTATTACATGTAATTCTAACGAACCTCACTGAAAAGTGTAAAGTTCCTCTCTCGCATTGTAGACTTATTAATTCTCATCAAACCTTCCAGATATATCATGAATGATCTTCCCTACATCATATCAATGAGCAAAACTATGATTCCTTCCGCTCTTAACTAAACCCATCAGTATCATTCCATACCTATGACATGGAAATCACCAGAGGGACTTTTCCTTTCTAATACACTGTTGTGCTTCCTTCCTCTATGTGTATGATAAATATTGTGTGACGAATACAAGAACAGTCTTTGTAGACGCTGTTAAGAAGGGATTACTAATGTCAGTCCTCCTGCTGCTGTCTAAATAGCGGAACTGACAAGGGCATTTCCCGTTGTTTCCAATGGGTATTTCTGAAATTTCATCTTTACTTGAATTGTGACTAATACTATAAAAGACTAAGATTTATATCATACTCAGCTATCGTTCATGTGTTTCTTCCAAGCTAAATTGTTTTTAACGCACTTTATTCTTAAAATGCCATCATTAGAATTAAGTAAAGATAAAATTGAAATTAAATATATGAAATTGGCGCAATTTTGTCGAACATTTGCGGTTCGTTATGGACGGCATCTTATCACAGAATTGTCATGTGATCATCAAAAAACATTTGGAACTTACGTGAATATTAAAGGGCTATCACGTTAATCTCTATATTTTTTTTTTCAAAAGTGTTATCACAATGATTTTAAACTGCTGAGGCTTTTTCTTTATATTGAATAGAGCATAAAAAGTAATTAATTTACATTTATGATGTGTAAAGAGACAGACTTGGACTATTAGTGTGTGGTTCACACATCTTACATATCGATAAATAGATGATAATATTTGTGTGCGAAGACGACGGTGTGTATATATGTATATATATTATATACATATGTTTATTATATATATATATATATATATATATATATATATATATATATATATATATATATATATATATATATATATATATATATATCAGTAGTCCGCGAGGCAATCTCTGCCTTGTGGGTATACCTGTGATTAACGCACAAAGTGTGTTTATGATATATTCATACAACGTGTTAAAACGCTTTCCACTGAAACTCTCTCAAGATTTAGAAGCGCTGGTTATAACGCTCCTGCTGTGTGTGTGTGTTTTACATTGTGTATCCTTTCGCTGTATGGGTTTTGTGCTATTTCTGAGACTTTGCTAAAATATTGCAGTGTATATGATACCATGATTTCGTACTACATTATGGTATCTCTGATGAACAACTATGATGAGTACTATCTATCCATTATAGTTGATTTGCCATATATATGTATAATCGTATGTCCACAGTAGTTTCTTCTTAACCTTAGTCTGGTTATTGAAAATACAGGATTTCTAGCCTGTGAGAGAACACTTTCCAAGTCAGTTTCCAAGTCCAGGTTCAAGAACAGATCTCTTAATCGTCGATAAAGAGGTACTGGCATTAAGTGGCATCAAGTTCCCCCATTTTTTTCCGTCGCCACAGCACCCAACACCTCGAAACGAAAAAAAAAAAAAAACGACCTCTTCAGTATATTTCCTGGGATCACACGAGAGCCCATGTGCAAAGTAAATCGGCTCAGGATTCTCAGAGATGTACGTTCACATACGCGGTATTTACTAATAAGACACTCTCTATAGAACTTTACATGCATTCTTGATCAGCTGTTTCTTGCTTGATTTCTTCTTGCCGCTGAGTGTGATGGTGTCTCCCTTCTTCAACTTTGCAGGGTTGCCGAAGATATCTGCAAGGAATGAAGAGATGAGATACCGTTTTCTGTACATGACTAAGATCCATATATTATTATAAAGATGAATATGAAAAAAAAAATATTGACTTGGGATTATTTCATTATTCGCAGTTTATTTCCCTTTACTAAGTTATAGACAGTGATTCGCTGTTTTATAAATGTGTGTTTATAAGCAGATACCACAGGACATAATCATGCAAAAACCTTCCCTTGCAGAAAGGACTTCGGGGTCCTTCGGGGCATTACTTCCCCATGCCCAGTACATTTTATTCATCCCTTCCACACTTTTTTTTTTACCCTTTTCTCCCCTCGCCAGTCTCTTTCTGTTGTTGTTCCAGCACCCTTTTATATTTCTCTTCTCCGTGTCTCACTTTCTATGTCACGGCGAGATTTTCTTGTTCTGGCATTTCTCTCTTTCTCTTTCCTTATGTGTCTTTCTGTTTTTTTACCTTATATATCCCTTTTCCTCACTCCCTTCCCTTCATCTCTTCGTCTCCTTCTCCTTCTCCTTCTCCCTCTCCTTCTCCCTCTCCTTCTCCCTCTCCTTCTCCCTCTCTTTGTTCGTTTCACTCCCACTCTCTCTCCCTCTTCCTATTACGCTCATTCTTCCTATTCCTCTTTCTCTTACTTTCCCTCTCCCTCTCCTTCTACCTCTTCCTCTCTCTCTCCCTCTTCCTATTCCTCTCCTTTCCTTTCCCTCTCCTTTCTCATAATACGCTCCAAAATATTCTATAATTGCAATGTACATAATATCCAATTTTTAAGTACCACATCCTGAAGCATATTTCATATACATGGATGAATTATGACGATAATGAGTTTGTCAATATAATTGCGCCTTACCATGAAGAGCCAAGATAATTATATTGAAAGTGTAAAGAAAACTTATATATATTTTTTTGTTATGAATTGAGTGCCTCTATAAAATGCATCGTTTTTTTTTTTTTTTTTTTTTTTTTTTTTTTTTTTTTTTTTTTTTTTTTTTTGGGGGGGGGGGTAATGGTTCAAGATACTGTCCATGTATGTATGCTTCTTTCTTTTCTTGTTTCGTGAAAATGGATAAATACTAAACGGGGTATTGTGAAAGAAGATTCATCTCTAGCAAGAAAAAGAGAGAAAGAGAGAGAGGGGGTGAGAGAAAGAGAGAGAGAGAGGGTGAGAGAAAGAGAGAGATGGGGGGTGAGAGAAAGAGAGAGAGAGAGAGAGAGAGAGAGAGAGAGAGAGAGAGAGAGAGAATTGTTCAGAGGGTCACGTGGTTTAGTTAATCTCGGCGCCTCCGGGCACTGACGGCTTGTCACCCCGATTTGCCTTCGAAATGCCCTTTCTGAGGAGCTTCTGATTACGATCAATTACCTAATCGTCACTTCCTGACCTCCGCCGTTTGTCGTAAACAACACGTCTCTCTCTCTTTCTTTCTTTCTTCCTTCTTCTTCTCCTTCCCCTCCTTCTCCCTTTTCTTCTCCCTCTCTCTTTCTTTCTTTCTTTCTTCTTCCCCCTCTCCCGCCCCTCCTTCTTCTCCCTCCTCCTTTACTCCTTATCCCTAACCTCCTTCCCCTCCCCCCTCCACTCACCCCCCCACACACACCCCTCCCGTCCCCCTCCCCCTCCCTCGCCCCCACTCACTCTCTCCGACGGTCTTGGCGGCGTAGATGTCCTCGGGCTGGGCGATGAGGGCCAGGTACCGCTCCACGAGGAAGTTGAACACCTGGTCCACGTTGAGG